CTAGAAATAGAATTAATGGCATTCTTAAGAGAGCACAAGAGAAGGCAAAGGAGCAACATGAACAACATGGATTGAAGTGTAAGAATTGAATAATTTGTTGGTTATTAATTATGTTTTTTTTTTTGTGAACTGAAATGTAATTGTAATATTTTGAGGAAGTTAATGAAAATTTCAATTTGTATTGCAATGATTTCTTAATTTATCTAAGTGCTTAAATTTCCTTAGATAAAATTTGTCAAACTCTAATTATTGGCTGAATTGTAATGAAAAATTTAGAGTTAATTCCTTTTTTTTGGTCCTAGACTTATTAGGGGTTGGACACATTTAGTCCACCATAAAAAATTGTCACATTTTGACCACGCTATTAGATCTTGGATACTTTTGGTCCTCCGTCAGCTTCCATGTTTTCTCATAGTTAAAATTAAGAATTTTTTAGTCCTTTCAAGAAGGGCACTGGCAACTTCAACGAGAATTTCACCATCGGAAGAGGGGTTCAGGACGAAGATCACTTGAGCAGGTTATTGGTTCGAATATATTTTTAAATTTTTATGTAAAAATCTTGGAATAAGGGTCAAATAAGCCATCGAACTACACACCAAAATGCAATTAGGCCATTGAACTAAAAAAAACATGCAATTGGGTCTCTGAACAACGCAAAATGATGCAATTGAACAAAAAGTGACATGCTTACCTGCTAATTTGCTGTCGTGGAGGTTATCATATTAAAATACTATTTTAAAAAAAATTTTATTTTAATAATTTTAAATAACAAAATTTAAAAAAAAAATTCCGGAGGAGACGAAGACGGTTCTTCGTCTCCTCCGGCATGGAGATGAAGACACCACCCCCCCCCCCCCCTTAATTTTATTTTATTTTGTTATTTAAAATTATTAAAATAAAATAAAAAATTATTATTTTAATAGGATAACCTCAACGTCAGCAAGGTAACATGTAAACATGTCACTTTTGGTTCAATTGCATCATTTTGTGTTGTTCAAGGACCCAATTGCATGTTTTTTTGAGTTGAATAACCTAATTGCATTTTGGTGAGTAGTTTGATAACCTATTTGACCCTTATTTCAAAAATCTTATATATATTAGACTTAAAAGTAAAAAATAAAAATAAAAATTTTCCATTTAAACCAAACATATGTAAGAATATATTAAATATAAGATCTAAAAATCATTCAAAATTAAACTTGTGTTAATTTTATAACATTAATCTAAAATTGAAAAAAATAAGTGTTAGTAAACAAGTTTTCTAAACAGAGAACAACTAATGAAAACTGAAAAATTAGAAAATAGAAAACAGAGAATAATTTTCTGTTAGTAAACGGGCCCTTAGATTCTTTGAGAAAATATAGAAGAGATTATAGTAGTATATTATTTTGTAAAAAATACGAATATTTAAAAACAAAAACATGGTCCCTCAACTATAGCTAAATTCACAAATTGGTCCTCAACTATTGATTTCAATCAATTAAGTCCTTAACTTTCTAATTTTAATCCAATTAAGTCCTCCGTCTATTTGACCGTTTGTTGACCGTGATCTCTGAGGATATACATGTAATTTCATGTGCAAAGCTCAAAAGTCAATTCTTACGAGAGAGAGAGAGAGAGAGAGAGAGAGAGAGAGAGATAGCAAGGAAGAGATGGCCATGGAGAGTTGAAGCTTGATGGTGAAACTGTTCGACTCTTGTAAGGCTCGGTGGCTCTGCTCGAGCTCGTCGGTATAGGGTGCGCTTGCGGAGCATGTCAACGATCTCCTCCTTGGGCTGGGAGCTCAAGAACACAGCCTCGTAGTCATCTTCGTCGTCGCGGTCGGTTGTTTCCGACAAGGGCTTGAAGTTAGTGACAGCGTCGCGGCCGCAAAAGCGCTGGGTGGCAATGTTGTACACCCTGGCAGCTTCCTCCTCCTCATTGAACGTCCATTCACATTGCCGCATTATTGTACCTCTATTGGCAATTTCTGAGGAAGACAGCAAAATCTGTAATTCAAAAGGTATAGTAAGACTGCACTAATCAATTCTACATGGGATTGATCGGATTAATGTGGAATGCAGCAAAGTGAAGCATGGTTTACATGATGAATGTGAAATGCAACAAAGTATCTCTTAGGGGGCGTTTGGTTCACGGAATGTTAGATTACCTTAGGGAATGTTAGATTACCTTAGGGGAATGTTAGATTGCTGGGAATGTTAGATTCATGTGTTTGGTTTAAAACTAAGATACGTAAATAAGACAACGGTAATAAGATAAATTGATTAAAAAAAATACAAAGCCCAACATTAGTAATAAGACAGGGGAATGTGAGATTACCTAAGAAATTGGAGGGTATCTCATATTCCCTTCCAATAGCTAACAACTTAATGCGGAGGTTATCTGACATTCCCTGAAAAAGTTACATAACTTGAACCAAACATGAAAATCTTATATTACCAAGCAAATATAACTTTGGTTATCTTATATAACCTGAATCAAACGCCCCCTTAATTCCTTCATCATCATCACCATCTATATACCTACATGATTATAAGTCAAGAACACTAGGGATTATAATTTAAATTGTTTTGATTTTTTAGAAATTAAATAAATATAAGACTAGATTCTTGGGGGAAAATAGCTGTAAATTTCATTTTGTTATTCACGAAATCAAAAAGCAGCTAGGTCCTTAGTTGATGTGAATACGTTGAAAATTGTCAGAAGAAGAATCAACCCCCTGAAAACCCCAATCCTCGAAACCAAGAACAGAAGGAAAAATGGAAAGAGGGGGGAGGGGGGATGATACGAACCCGTATCAAGCCAGCACCGCTTTGAGTGGATGCAGACTCCAAAGATGGAATTAGGGGAGGGGAAAATCTGAGAGAGGGAGAGAGAGGGAGAGAGATTTCAGAGAAGGAAGATGATAGTAGAGAAGAAAAAGATAATAATAATTCACATGTCTTTCCCCCTAGCATGCAAAGTGATTATATACTAAGTTACTCCTATTATGCTTAGGATTATGATTCCTAATTAATATGATATAATAATGTATTAGGACTAAACTAATGTATCCTATTACGAATAAACTTAGTCTAACAAATGTAATCATCCATCCATGCCGGTTTCCTTCGTTTTCTCCTTGGCCTAGTAGCATGGGTTGTTTCTTTTCTTTCTCCCAATTCTTGATTTTCACATTCTTCTACTGTGGATATACTCGTATCAGGGGAGGGGAGAAAAGAGATGAAAGCGAGTAGGAGGCATACATGAGAGAGAAAGGGGGGTTTAGTATCTAACTTGTGAGTTGTGACGATTGCAGATGAACACCAAGGTGTCGTTGAACTCCATTGCCGTTGAACACTACGGCTGCAAATGAACATCACGAAGTCTGTTTTTTCCTCTACGCACTATATTTGGAAGCAGAAAGAATCTTTCCACTAAGAGTTGAAGGGAAAACGCAGAGAGCAGGTGAAATTTCACGATAGCTAAACGGTGATATTAACAAAGGACAAAATTATGTCAAAATTAAAAAGTTAAAGAACTTAATTAGTTGAAATCAAAAGTCGAGAATCAATTTGTAAATTTAACTATAGTAGAGGTCTATTTTGAGTATTTACTCAAACAAATTCTACGTTTATATTGACCCCATTAAAATCCCTAGGGAAAAGGTACAAATAGGCCATTGAACTATTTGGGGGTTAGCAATTAAGCCACCGAACTCAAATAAGCTTCAAATTGATCTATGAACCTGCAAAAAAAGTGCAATTAACATTTTTAACAGGTTAACAACAAGTTACTGCTGACTAGGATGCCATTTGTAATTTTTATTTTTTATTTTATTATTTTTATTATCCTAATCAGCATTTGACACCAAAAAAAAAAAAAAAAAAAAAAAAAAAAAAAAAAAAAAAAAACTTAAGCATTTGACCCTCTTGACCAAGACTACTGTCAAAATAAACCATATTTCTTCTCTTCTTCGTTGCTCCGAATCGGCTCCGATCTCTCCTCTTCTCTTCTTCGTTGCTTTGTCGCGAACATCAAATCCTCTTCTCTTCTTCGTTGCTTTGAATCGGCTCCAATCTCTCCTCTTCTCTTCTTCGTTGCTTTGTTGCGAACATCGAATCGGCTCCAATCTCTCCGGCTCAACTTTACTTTTCTCCGGAAAACTCTACAATAAATTGGTAATTTCTTCTCTATTTTGCTGTTTTTCTATCTTTTGCTGTTGTTTGCGTTATTTTTTAACACTTACAAGTGAGTAACCAACTCATTTTTATCCTTCACTGCTTTTGGGAACAATTACAGGTATTGTTGTTACTCACTTGTATTCTTGTTCTTTTGGGTTCAGGCATCAAAGTAGAAGAACGGTCTGTTCTGGAAAGCGATAACCCTCCAGGTCTTCTCTTTTTTTTTTCTATGTAATTCTGTGTTCGGGAAATTTCCATGTATTTTTTTTTTAATTTTTGAATTTTTCTTCTAATTCATTTTGGTTTTTGAATTTTGTAAATGGAATCAAGATGATGAGGTTTGGCTTTGTGTGATAGTTTTAGTGAAAATAAAGAAATCTTGTACTGTAATTGAACTTGGGATTTTTGGGGGATGATGAGCTGCAATATAGCTTGGTATTCATGAAACTGAGGGCATGGTTTTGCTTTTGTTTTGGGGCCTGGTTTTGCTTTTGTTTTGTGTAACAATTGACACAGTTTTATTTGGAGTGAAAAGTTGAGATTTTGAATCTCATGTTTTTATGATAAATTGGATGCTGGTGCAGGTGTTCTTATTGCATTTGATAAAGTCAATTTTGTTAGAATATTTGTTTCACTAATTTTGTTAGTCATTAATTTCACCCCTAAAATTATAATGAGCAGTTATAATGCATCCATTCTGGACAGTTTGAAACACTCTGCTTTTATGGTCTAAATATTTCATTTTGGGCAGTTTCATTCTGAGCAGTTATAATGCATTTCCTTTACTTTGATGCATAATCCCTGCAATTTTATGTATTCCATTTTACAATTTTCAGAATGTATGACATAGTAGATTTGAGAATTCATTATGGGGGTAGTTTTGTGCAAGATCCAAGACTACGATATATAAATGGAGAAGTTGATGAAGTAACAACTGATCCCGATCTTATTTGTGTACCTCACTTGATGAAGTTCATAGCACATGAGAGATATGGTAAGGTCAAAAGTCTATCTTACAAGTTAAGTATGGAGGCGATGGAAAAGCTTAGGCCATTCTTTAATGACACCCACACGATGGAGTTGATGACGCTAGCACGTAGATATAAGAAGGTGGACATATATGTTGAGCATGGTGTTGAAGAAGAAAATGAAGGTAATCCAAGTGTTGATCTTGAGGAAACAAATGAAGGTAATGATGATGATGGTGAAGAGAATAATGATGATGAACATGATGAATGTAATAAGGATGATGAAGAAGCAGAAAAAAGAAATCATGGTGCAGAATTGAAATCAGGAGCAACACATGCACCAAGTAGAAAAAAGAAACATACAGTTCAAGAAAACACTATTGAGGATGATGAAGTAGATAGTGTTTATTATGAGTCAGATAATCCACCTAGTTACCAATCTGAGATGGAAGATGATGAAGCTCAACTACAACTGGAACAATCAAGTAAAGCCAAGGTCAAATGTAAATTTCCATCTTACAATCCAAGTGTTGAATTTCCCGAGTTAGAGTTGGGCATGTTTTATGAAGATGCATCAGAGTTTAAGAAAGCAATGATTAATTATGCAGTGCACTTTAAGAGGGACATATGCTATTATAAAAATGAGAGTATGAGAGTGATGTTTAAATGTGCTGGCATTGAGAGTATTGATGGTAAAGGCTGCCCATTTCATTGCACTGCTTCATGGGAGGAGAAATACAAGTGTTTTCAATTAAAGACTCTTGAGGCCAACCATAATTGCAATCAAAAGTTCAGCTTGCGTTTGGTGAGTCAAAGTTGGATAGAAGATAAATATGAAGAAAAAATTAGAGATAATCCTTGCATTGGACCTATAGAGTTGAAAAATCACATTGAGTCAGAATTGAAAATAAATTTAAGTATTAGCAAAGTGAGAAGAGCAATTAGGTCTGTGCTCAAAAAAATTAATGCAAGCTTTGAGGATCAGTTTAGGAGAATAAGGGACTATGCACAAGAGTGTATGAACTCTAACCTAGGAAGCAAAGTAAAACTAAAAACCAGTATGGTCACACCTGACAGTCCTTGTGTGTTCCAAAGAATTTATGTATGTTTTGATGCACTAAGAAGGGGTTTCTTAGATGGATGTAGAAAGATTATTGGATTGGATGGGTGTTTTCTCAAAGGGTTGCTAAAGGGAGAAATATTAACTGCAGTAGGAAGAGATGCAAACAATCAGATGTACCCTATTGCATGGGCTGTGGTGGAGATTGAGAACACAGATTCATGGGGATGGTTTTTAGAGTTGCTGAAAAATGATTTGGGAATCACCAACACTTACCCTTGGACAATAATCAGTGACCAGCAGAAGGTATGCACTCTTAAATGTATTTAGTGATGTCATTTGCTCAAAATGTATTAGTAGTTCTTTCTTGCTATTTACGGTGTGAAAGAGGCTATCTTGCTCTTGTTTTTTGAATCTTAATTTTATTTTATCATGTTCTTATTTTATGTTGCTCTTGTTGCAGTTTTAATTAGTAGTATCTTAATTACATTGACTAGCTTGTGTTAATTACAATCACTAGCAGTATCTACATTACATTGACCAATGTATATTTGCTTCATATACAGTGACTAGTGTCTTTCTTACTGCATCATTATATATATAATTTTAATTTCAGGGATTAACAACTGTTATCCAAGAGTTATTTCCGGATTCAGAGCACCGAAATTGTGCAAGGCATGTGCATGCAAATTGGAGTAAGCGCCATAAAGGAAAAGTTATGAAGAATCACTTTTGGATGTGCGCCAAGTCAACAACAGAAGTTCAATTTCATGAACAACTAAAAGCCTTAGAAATGAGAGACAAAGAGGCTAAAGCTGACCTAGAACGGTATCCACCTAAGTTTTGGTGCAAGGCTTTTTTTAGAACAACAAGTAAATGTGACATTGTTGATAATAATATATGCGAAGCATTCAATGGGACTTTGCTTAAAGCAAGATGCAAGCCAATAATTCCCATGCTTGAAGACATTCGAGTGCTTGCTATGAGAAGGATAGCCAAAAAAATGAAGTTCGTAGACACTTGGAAAGGTAGATATGGACCACTTATTATGAAGAAACTAATTGCAAATAAGAAAGAAAGCATTGGATGGAAGGTACATTGTTTATACAATTTTTTTAAAAATAATATAACATTACATTTGTTGGGGTTTAAATTTGAGTGGTAAATTTTGTTGCTAGGTTGATTTTAATGGAGATGATGGATATGAGATTAAGAAAGGACGAAATCATTTCAAAGTCAGGCTTGAAAATAAGACATGTTCGTGTAGATCATGGGATTTGACAGGTCTACCTTGCCCTCATGCTATATGTGCCATCTTCGACAATGGCAGGAATATGGAGGATTATCTTGATCCATGCTACTCAAAAGAAGCATATCAAAGGACTTATGCACATGCTCTTCTACCGATGAATGGAGAACTCTTCTGGCCTAAAACAAATTGTGAGGAAATTTTGGCTCCAATCCCAAAAAAAATGACAGGTAGGCCAAAGAAGAAAAGAAATCGTGAGGAAAGTGAAGGTTCATCAACTGCTAGTAAGAAGACTCAACTAAGTAGGAAGGGTCGCATAATGAGATGTTCCATTTGTAGACAAGAAGGGCATACTAGAGCAAAGTGTAATTCTGTTAGAGGTGTTTTGGGTTAATGTTTTGGCAGAAGAGTAGTTTTGAGTTAATGTTTTGGCAGTAATAGATTAACAATATATTTATGCATATCAAATGTTGTAGTGTTGCAATTAACAATGTATTTTTGTATGGCAATGCAAACTATATTAACAATATTATTAATTTCTGCTTAGCAATGCAAATTTATATTAACATTATATTTTTTCACTAGTTAGTAAATAGACAAATTTTGTATTATATTATGCGCGTAATTTCTTAAATATTGAAATTTCAATGTATTTTTTCTAATTCAAAAATGTCGCAAACAATCGAAAAAGAGAGAAAACAAAAAATGTCGCAAACAATCGCGAAAGAGATAAAGCGAAAGGGTCAAATGTTTTTTTTTTTTTTTTTTTTGGTGTCAAATGCTGATTAGGATAATAAAAATAATAAAATAAAAAATAAAATTACACATGGCATCCTAGTCAGCAGTAACTTGTTGTTAACCTGTTAAAAATGTTAATTGCACTTTTTTTGCAGGTTCATGGATCAATTTGGAGCTTATTTGAGTTCGATGGCTTAATTGCTAACCCCCAAATAGTTCAATGGCCTATTTGTACCTTTTCCCAAATCCCTATTGCTCCGTACATCTCTTTCTCTTGTTACCCTTCCGACAGTGTCTTTGATTCAGGGAAGATGCCCGCGCCTCCACCGGCAACTGAAAGCTCCAGCTCTCCGGCGTTGGACTCTCACCACGATCTTCCTAAACTGGTCGGTCTTTATGTATTCATTTGTGTATAGTATTATGACTCCCTAGGTTTAATGGTTAGGCGAGAGAGCGAGAGAGCGAGAGAGATTATGATGATTATCTAACTAATTAACCTGTTTCCGATTGAACAGGTGAGGAGTGCATTAGCGGAGCTCAATAATATCCCTGCTTCTCGAGTATGTAATTTCTTCTGTTGCTTTATTCTTACTTTCTGCCTTAGCTTGGTTATGGAACAAGCATGGTGTTTGATGAGTTGTTAGGTCAGTTTATCCAGTTCATGTGAATTTTGAATAATAATGATGATTTTTCTTATTTTCCACTGCCAAATATAACTGAGCATTTTGGAGTTAATCGTGATTGTAAATTTATAATTGCTTTAACTGAAGGGTTGAGTATTGTAAGCTTGAGAATTTGAAGCTTCAGGGTTAATGTGGTTGCATTGTAACTGAAGAATGGCCTAGAAAGAATAGGAGAAGCTAAAATTATGGACGGGTTGATAGCTTTTCTTGGATGCTCTCTGCTTGGTGCATTTGGATTTTATCATTATACAAGTTTTCCTCTGACTATGCATTTAGAAGTATCATTATACAAGTAGCATTCAAGTTTGATATCAGAGTGTTGCTGGCATAATTATGAATATCACTAGATTGGCAGTGATAATGATTGAGAACCTACATGATGCCTTTCATTTGTTTAGATTCTGTCATTTGTACCTAATGCTTTTGAGATACTTAAAAATTGATTCTTTAATCAACAAAAAAGGGAGGTGATACTACTTAGGAATTAGGCAAGAAGTCAGATTATGTATTTAGTATGAAACAGCAAGGCACTGTTTGCTTGTATGGATTTGGTGTCAGGTGGCTATGGTACATGCTTTCAATGTGAATTTTTGTTGGCTACTGTTTATTGTCTCCTTCAAGTCCTAGGTTAGCATATGACCAGAAAATGAGGAGAGAAATTTGTCTTGCTTCTAACCTTGGGAAAGGCATGGGAATTAAACATGAATCATTACCTTCTGCAAGGGGTAATGCATCCAATATGTGGTAGATAGCCACGCAAGGAGGCCCAACATACATGCATACATGCATTTGTTCCGTTAATCATTGACTTTATACATTACTTTAGATTTGTATTTATTTCTGAATGCCAGACTGTCGTCCAGAGAAATGGAAACCTATTTTTCCATACAACTGCTCAGAAGGCATCTTCTTACAAGCAAAGTAAGAACTTTATCCAACTTGAGCCATTACTCTTTTTGTGTATGTGTGCGTTGATCTCTCTGAACTTGATTAAACTTTTCTCACTCTATGAGTTAATTTTCCTATCTCAGTTGATTAAATTCTATGGCTTGTGTAGCGAAGAATCGAAAGCTCATGGCATTCATGATTTTTGCCATCTTTATGCTTACTATTAATGGAGTTCTCTCCAAATCTCGTCGTCCGATCTCTGTAAGTATTTTTTTTCTTGTCCTCAATAATCACTTTTAAAATCATATAATTTTCTATTACGGTTGATTCTTAATTTTGCATCCCCATCCATTTTTAATTAGTTTTAATTTCCAACAGGAGATGGAGATTTGGGAGAAGAAGAACAAATGCTATGCTGACATTGAGAGGTATTTTTAGTCAAATCCCAAATTCAAAAATTTTGAAATTCTGCAAGTTCTTATTTTTCTGGTTTACTTATGAGAGATTCAGAGACCATGTGAAGATTTTTTTAAAAATAAAGATTATTTATTCATTTATTTTAACTGGACAGGGCAATTCTTCAAATAGAGTTGAATCTTGCTAATGTTGTTCTTTGTGGATATTTTTCTTATATCTGAGATTCTGTGTATTAGTAAGATAATAATGAAGAAAATTAACGCTACTTTTATTTATTTATTATGGTGTAATTCTAATTGACAAAGTAGCTACTGAAAAGAGAAGTTTGAATTTCTCTAATTAGTCTTTTTCTATTCTTTAATTTAAAAGTGGACTGTGGGGTGAAAAATGCAAGACTTCAATGGTAGCGAAGGAGAACTGTGCTCTGCAATGCTTGTCACCAGTTTGTTTTGAGCTCATTTATGAGAGTGATCCAGTAAGGGTGACTTAATTCTTATTTTCCTTCATATTTATGCTTTTATGGTGTAACATTATTTGTTTGTGTGTGTTTGGTGTGTTCTGAATTAGTTGGAAGAAGGGGAGAAAGATACTGTCAGGAGTCAAGAGTACAAGTACTGCATGCACAAGTATAACTCATACTATCTGGTTTTTCATGCTTCTCCAATTATAAATCTTATTAGTTCTTGTTTGTATATGCTATTAGATGTATTATTCTGATTATGGAACTTGTGACAGTTAAATGAAAGAGGAAAGCTAATGATTAACAAGCTGTATAAAATAGAATTGGTTGTTTTTCTATTATTCAACTTTTGCTTCCAGTTTTCTTTCATTTGTTCTTTGGTGGAGTGAGTAATTGTTTACTGATTACTAGTAGTGATGATTACATGGGCAAAAGAAAAATATAATCAGTAATAATACTATATTTCTGTTGAGAATTGCTGATTGCCTAAGGATGCTGAGACCTGTAATTGGAATGTGGGAATGGAAAACTAATGATGGTGACTAAACATGAAACATGATGATCTTAAACTTTTAAGAGTCATGATTGTCTTGAATGCAAAAAGTTTTTTTTTGATGAAGAGCTTGCTTGAGACTTGTTCAATTCTGAAAGTCATGATCCAAGTTGACAGTTTTCTTGGGTGGCTACCTCTTGGTTTATTTATCCAACTCAATTCTAGTTGACTATATGGTATCATATCATGCATCAAACGATTCTTGATTAAGACTTGTTCGATTTGAAAAGTCATGAACCGAGCTGACAATTTTCTTGGGTGGTTACCTCTTAGTTTGTTTTGTCCAACTCAAATTGTAGTTGATTAGAAGGTATCATATCATGCATCAAAGTGTGGAGTTAGAGATAGAAGGATATGATATCTTTCCTTTTCACATTTCCGAGCTTCTAGACTTGAGAAGTCTGATGGCTGCACAATCATGAAACTAAATGATATTTTTCCATACATCTTAGGTTAGTATAAATGTATAATGATGAAAGAAGCTCATTCATACTGATCTTAGAAGGTACAACATCGAAAACCTGACATAATCATTTGTCACATGCTGGCAGTCTTCTTTTTGCCCTAGGAGGCTAGGAGCAGTAGAATAGCCTTTTATTAATTCAACGATGTAGTTTGCATTGAAACTGTAGCCCAGGTTGAAGCTTCCCTTCCCATAAATTGAGCTTGGGCAGTAAGGTTTGGGGCATTTCCTTGCGCTTGGGTGTCTTGTCATCCCCTCAAACTTTGCAGGCACGGTGAATTGGGATTCTCAATTGCTTAATAACTTCAGCACTCCCTATCTTCTCTACCATTCTTGAATCAATCAAAATGCATGCGTGTTGTCTGCCTGGCAGCTTTAGTTTGTTATGTTTCCTCGCTTTCTCTGTAATTTTGATATGGTATTTTCTTCCTTTCATAAACTCTTTTTAATTTTTATTTGCATGGCAGGGTCTCTCTTGGAGAGAGTTTGGACGGCATCAGAGGTTCCTTCAGCTTCTAGTTTCATTACTTTCATATGCATCTTTGCTGCTTACTCAGAGAGTTAGAGCTGCTGACATGATTACGCTGTTAGGATATGCTGATTAATTTTGTCTGAATAAGAGGCATCACCATCATCTCACATTTGATGCCTCCTAATGCCAGATGCCTTGTGATTATGTATGTTGTATATATGAACTGGTGAAATTGAGAGCATTGGCGTATCATTTTTTATTCCAGTCTGTATTCTATTCCAGTCTTTTTGATTTATACCTTGTTCACTTAGCCCATTCATTACACCTCCTTCCATTTCCGTAGATCCTTGTCTCCAAGGATAAGAATGAGGAAATTGCTTCTTAACATGGTAGTAATTCTCCTAAGTGGCTTCCTATAGACTACATTAGTCCACTGAACCAATATTTCAACTTTAGTAGCATTGTTCAGCGGCCTCAGTGTTGAAAAAGACGCTAGGCGCCTAGTGCCTAGGGTATCCCTTTTTTTTTTTTTTTTTAGCCAAAACGATGTTGTTTTGGCGAATAACTAAAAAAATAAATTCGGGTTCGGCCGCCTAGGTGACCGGCTGCGGAGGAGGCCGATTTCGGCATTTACTCCAAAAATAACAACTCCACTATTTGTTACGGAGTATTATATTGCTTTTTTTTTTCTTTTGAATTAGATCATTTTAAACTTGGGAACCAAAACTGAAAAAATCCACTCGACTGTTGAATGAAAAAAAAACTGTATAAATGGCTCACCTTAAGAAGAAACACAAAGCATCTTAAGAAGGAAAACAAAACATCTTAAGAAGGAAAACAATGCACCTTAAGAAAAAAAAAATCACGCTCCTAAAGCTTTAGACCGGCGCACCTAAAAAACAACGCACCTTAAAAAGGAAAACTACACACCTAATGCTTTAGGTCGATGCACCTTAAGTTTTATCAACTAACGCACCTTAAGCACACAAACCACATGCCTTAAGAAAGAAAATCACGCACCTTAAGAAGGAAAACCATGCACCTAAAGCTTTAGGCTCACGCACTTAAGTTTTCAACAACGGACGCAGCTTAAGCACAAAAATCACGCACTTTAAGAAGAAAAATCACGCACCTTAAGAAGGAAAACCACCCACCTTAAATTTTACCTAAATGCAAAAAGGCCAAATTGCCACTGCATTTTTTTTTTTTTTTTTATAATTCTTATTAATCCTGGACGTTAATCTTGCTAAGATCAATGGCTCTCATCTCACCGCACTGCCGCACCTTGGCGCACTATCCGCATTTGAACCTATATATATATATATATATATATATATATATATATATATATATATATATATATATTCATTAATAATAATATCATAATCATTATTATTTGTTAGGGAATATACCCTGGGCTACTTTCCTCTCTACACCGAGGACTTGGTCGAATATGAGTATATGACTCGCCGCGAGGCAATGGTTGTCTTCCGATCTGAACCGACCCGAGTAGAGGACATGACCGACCTGACCTGTTGATCAAATGTTTCTACAGCTTAAAGAGCCCTTGCCTTTATCTTCCTATGCTTGGCCTCGACCTGATTACTTGGTCAGGGTCCCGAGTACCCGAGCTAACAGTCAAATCAAGCCCATAAAGCGATCGGCTAGACAAATATATCTTTACATGTGTATGCCTTTCTTTAGCCGCCGAGACCACTGAGTGCATGGAGGGCACGTGTCACGGATGCCGACCTCTCGACATGTGTCTCATCGTCTGGCATATAAATACCCCGCGAAATGCCTAGGGCAGGAACCTTTTTGGCAACTCCCAAATAGCTATACTAGGCTCGAGAATCTCTGGCCTTAGGCTACCAACCGAGCATCAACCCTTAAACCAACAAGTAGATTATAAAAGGACCCGAACCCGGTCCGGCCGTACAACCTTACGTATTTGTGGGAATCGAAGCATTTACTACATCATTTTGGCGCCATACGTGGGGACTGGCACTAATAGCTACCGGCCTGAGTCCCCAATTATGTATCCTCAACCCAACTATGATGCGGAGCAGAATCCCTAGCAAACAGTTTTTGACCTCTGTTCCCAATTATCGCTTCGGCAAGCTACGTTTCAGACACCACAAGTTGAGTCGGTCTCTCCAAATGTGATAAGCCATAACACCATCAGCACAGGTAGAGCAACCCCCTTTATTCCGAGTTTGGTTACACATCCCTTAGTGCCTAGCTCAATTCCCGGATGGAACCTCACCTCATTAGGATGGGGGTGGGTATCCAACCCCACAACCCTTCATTATGGGCACATTCCCATTCCAGGCCATGATCGAATCACCTGTGTGTGCGGTCGTCCCGACCTTCACTGGCATGCCACTGGCATCTATATCGACGGGTGTCACAGCTCAACAACATTTCAGTCGGACATCGGGGCGAGTCTACTATGTAACACCCCGTATTTTTCTAAGCAAAATTATTTTAAATATAAACATTTTCAAAATGAATTATTTTCCTATTATTAAATATTTTAGTAAAAATTGTTTTTAAATTTAATTATTTTGCAATGGGCTTAGGGATGGCAATTGAACCCGCCCCCGACGGGGAAAACCGACCCCCGCCCCGACGAGGACGGGTTCGGGGATTTATTTCGGGGAACGGGGGCGGGGATGGGGGGAATTACCCAATCCCCGCCGGGGACGAGGACGGGGACGGGGATTGCATTCCCCGCCCCGACCCCGACCCTGATCCCGCCCCGAATTCCCCGCTAATAAGTAATAAATTAATAATATTAGATAGAATATATATAATATTAATAATAAAAGTTTAAAAATTAAAACAAAAAATAAGTAGATAACCGGTCATAAAGTCATAAGTCATAACCCTAACTCTCTATTCTCTAAGTCTGCCACTCTGCCTCTCATATTCTCATAACCCTAGTCTCTCCATTATCTCCATTCTCCAACCGTGAAGTACTCGCCGGCATTATCTCATATTCTCATAACCCTCCTCTCTGTTCCATGACTTCCGTCGGCCGCCTCCCTCTCTGTTCCGTCGCCTCGCCGCGACGCCGCCTCCCTGACTCCATCTCTGTTCTTACGGGTCTCAGGCTGCAAGTCTGCAATAGTGAAGGTAAATGAACCATTTTTCATTTCAGTTTAGTTATTTTAATTACTAATTAATAATTAGCATTTCTCATTTCTGTTTAGTTATTTTAATTACTAATTAATAATTAGCATAGTTCTCAATCACTGGTTCATAGAATGTATTACCATTTCTGTTTAGTCATTTCTGTAATTCTGTTTAGTTAGAATAATTAGCAATCACTGGTTCATAGAATAATTAGCATATTTTAATTTCTGTTTAGTCATTTCTATAATTCAGTTTAGTTATTTTAATTACCATTTCTCAATCACTGGTTCATAGAATGTATTACAATACTGGTTCATAGAATGTATTAAAACAGTATACAAACTTGTATAAAAACTTAATCACTGGTTCATAGAATGTATTAAAATAATTACAAACAGAATTTCTTGTTAAACTAATTTTATTTTTTCATATATTATTACTTATTAGAATTGAAGGTGATAATTCGCATGTTGGCGTTTGTGACTCATTTACTCCAACGCCTGTGAACTCAAGAAACTCAAGCAACTAGACCAACTGTTGAAGGTGAGCTTCTTGTGTATTTTTATAGTTATTAAATTATTAAATTTACTTTTTGTTTATCTTATTATTTTGATTTTGCACTTGTTTATTTTGTTGCTTCAGAATCCGCTTCAAAAACTCAAACAACTTGCCCAGTTTCAACCGTTGCTTCAGAATCCGCTTTATCTACTAGTGGTAGATTGATATCGCCTCATCGTAGTAGACTCTGAAGCGATAAATTATTTTGAGGAAGAGTTGAATATTCAAAACTTGAAAATTGAAGTTTTGAAGTTTATTTTGTTTTGTCATGTACTAATGTAATATGTTTGGACTTTGGAGGAGTTTAAAACAATTTAAAGTGTTTGAACATTTTATGATTATTATTTATGTTAGAAAGTTGGAACTTTATAAGTTTGCATATTTGCAGGGATTTTAGAGTTTGAATATTTTAATTTTATTAATCTATGTATTTTGATTAACGATTCAAGGCTTAACAATATGGATTTGTAATAATATTAGTCTTTTTTTTTTTTTTTTGAAAAATTAGTCTTTTTTTTTTTTAATAGGCATAAATAAAAAACGGGGCGGGGATTCCCCGTCCCCGAAAATCCCCTGTGGGGATGGGGATGGGAAATAATTCCTCATCCCGTCGGGGAACGGGGCGGGGACGGGGAATGGGGAAATATTTCGGGGACGGGGACGGGGACCCCATTTCCCAGCCCCGCCCCGTTGCCATCCCTGAATTGGCTTTGGTTAACCTATTTTTATAACCTATTATTTTTTACTATCCAAATATCTTAAGTTCAAATGATTTTTAATCCCTAAAAACTTTATAGTCCAATGATACCAAATTGTTCTCCTATATATGAAGTGATGGGTTCAAAATGATTTTTAATCCCTAAAGTTTTTATATTATTAGAAATTCTATTCCATTACATGCTTATTCCGCAAAATAAACGTGACATAAAGTAAGTGATTTAAGTCATCAAATGTATAAATCGTAAAACCAAGGGAATTAAATACAAATTCTACATTTATATTGGAGTAAATATCCAAAATGGTCCCTCGACTATAGCTAAATTCACAAATTGGTCCTCAACTTTCAATTTCACCCAATTAAGTCCTTAACTTTGCAATTTTGACACGATTTGGTCCTCCATCTAATTGACCGTTTGTTGACCGTGATCGACGATCTCCAGAAGAACCTTCAACTCTCGTCGGAGCACGTGGAGGCCTCCAGGATGACGTTGCACCGGTTCGGAAACACGTCGTCTTCTTCGCTCTAGTACGAATTCAACTACATTGAATCTAAAGGGAGGATGCAGAAGGTGATCGGGTTTAGTAGATTGGTTTCGACAGTGGATTCAAATGTAACAGTGCGGTCTGAAAATACAATCGGAACCTTAAAAAACCGACGATGAACCATGAATTTACATATATATCCTCAAAAATCACAGTCAACAAACGGTCAAATAGACAGAGGACCAAATTGTGTTAAAACTACAAAGTTAAGGACTTAATTGGGTGAAATTAAAAGTTGAGGACCAATTTGTGAATTTAGCTATAGTCGAGGGACCATTTTGGTATTTACTCTTTATATTGAGTATTGACCCCATTAAAATCCCTCTTTTTTTTTTTTTTTTTTTTTTCCTTTAAAGTATTATTCCGTGCATCTCTTCCCTGTTATCCTTCCATCAGTTTCTTCTATTGAGAGAAGATGCCCGCGCCTCCACCGGCAACTGGAAGCTCCAGCTCTCCGGCGTTGTACTCTCACCACGATCTTCTCAAACTGGTCGGTCTTTATGTATTCATTTGTGTATAGGATTATGATTCCCTAGATTTAAAGGTTAGGCGAGAGAGCGAGAGAGATTATGATGATTATCTAAATAACTAATGTGTTTCCGATGGAACAGGTGAGGAGTCACGAGGTTGCATTAGCGGAGCTCAATAATATCCCTGCTTCTCGAGTATGTAATTTCTTCTGTTGATTTATTCTTACTTTCTGCCTTAGCTTGGTTATGGAAACAAGCATGGTGTTTGATGAGTTCTTCGGTCAGTTTATCCAGTTCATGTGAATCTTGAATAATAATGATGATTTTTCTTATTTTCCACTGCCAAATATAACTGAGCATTTTGGAATTAATGGTGATTGAGTATGGTAAGCTTGAGGATTTGAAGCTTCAGGATTAATGTGGTTGGATTGTAACTTAACAAGGCCCTAGAAAGAATAGGAGGAGCTAAAATTATGGATGGGTTGATAGTTTTTCTTGGATGCTCTCTGCATTGGTGCTTTTGGATTTTATCCTTATACAAGTTTTCCTCTGACTATGCATTTAGAATTATCATAAATTTAGATGTAGTTATAGTAGCATTCAAGTTTGATATCAGAGTGTTGCTGGCCATAATTATGATTATCACTAGATTGGCAGTGATTATGATTGACAACCTATATGATGCCTTTCATTTGTTCAGATTCTGTCAATTGTACCTAATGCTTTTGAGATACTTAAAATTGATTCTTTAATTTCAAAAAAAAAAAACGATTCTTTAATCAACAGTAAAAGGAGATGATACTATTATGCTAATTAGGACTTAGGCAAGAAGTCAGATTATGTATTAGTATGAAACAGCAAGGCACTGTTTGCTTGTATGGATTTGGTGTCATGTGGCTACGCTATATGCTTTCAATGTTAATTTTTGTTGGCTACTGTTTATAGTCTCCTTCAAATCTTAGGGTTAGCATATGACCTGAAAATGAGGAGAGAAATTTGTCTTGCTTCTAACCTTGGGAAAGGCATGGGAATTAAACATGACCTTCCGAAAGGGGTAATAGCCATGCAAGGAGGTCCAACATACATTTATCTGTTCCGTTAATCATGGACTATATACATTACTTTGGATTTGCTTATGGATTTGTATTTATTTCTGAATGCCAGACTGTCTTCCAGAGAAATGGGAACCTATTTTTCCGTACAACTGCTCAGAAGGCAATGTCTTATGAGCAAAGTAAGAACTTTACCCAACTTGAGCCATTACTCCTTTTGTGTATGTGCGTTTTGATCAAACAACTTGATTAAACTTTTCACTGTCAGTTAATTTTCGTATCTCATTTATATGCGTTTGTGTTGTACAGAGCAATTGGAGATGGCCAAAGCTAAGCTGCAAAAGCTAACTTCTTGATGTTATCAAGTGTTTTTTCATGGTTTGGTTGTAGCCAAGTGCAGTATTTGTTATATTTGTGAAAAGTTCCCTGATGAACATGTTTGAAATGTTTCAAATTGAATTTCACAAGTCCTTTGGTTAGTTTAAATAAGGAAAAAGTTTTAGGATTAGGAATGGCTAAAAATTTGAAAGTTGATTGACCATGGATGGTTAATTTGAAAGTTGAATGACCATGGGTGGTTAAATTTGAAAGTGTAAAGACCACGGGTGGTCAAATTGAAAGTTTAGGACTAAACGTGACAGTGACACTATACTCGGAGGCTGACCTCAGCTGATATTAATTTGGAGTGCAAAATTTTGATTGCTATTTTGCACTGACTTTTGATTTCTTCCCATTTTCATTTTCTCTTTCATTCTTCATTTTCTTTTCATTTCCTCATTGATCTCTTCATCAAAATTTTATCCGATTTCTTCTATTATTTTCTGTGCATTCTCTATTTTCTTTCCCATTTTTTGCTTTGATTATAATGGATTGAACTCATTGAAGGAGTTAGATGGGATGAATGCTATTGTCTTTCATATGTATTGGAAAATTGGAAATAAGGGATGTTCTCATTCTTTCAAAAGGCTGAACTCAAACCCTAAGGGCTCCCCACACCCCGACTCGACAGAGCATTTGAGAGGATGTAAATCATGATAACTCAACTGAACATGAACTATAGAGGCTAGATCTTTGCTCACTGCGCACAAGAAACCACCCTCACTTTGAGAGATTATTCCCATACTGTCGCTGGGATGTTCTCATTGTACTAAGAGTGGATGTTGAAATTGATGAATTGAAAGGTCCGGCAATAAGGTGGAAGAAAAATATGTTAAAAATCAAAGGAGGAGAAAATATATGATTTTATTAATAATAAATAATGTATTACAATAGATGGTCCATGTGTGCCTACGTATTGAAGAATTGAACTATATAGAAACATTGGACCTGTGACCAAGCTCACTCCTAGTTTTTATTAGTCAACACTTTATCATAAGTTGGAACATTTAAAAGTCTCAAATTTAAATTAACATAAACACTCCCTCTAACTTGAAATTACAAATGAATATTAATTTGAATCGATTAGAGAATAATAGTGCGGGATAACTTTGGATGACAAAGCACCAAGGGACACAAACACAAACATTCTCAAAATAACACAACAGCACACACACTGTAGGACCACCCAAAAGAAAAAGAAAAAAAAAAAATCTTCAAGTAGTAGAGGTGAATGGTTACGAGTAATAAAACCCAAAGCAATGAAGATAACCCAAAGTGATGAAAAGAATAGAACATCCGTTGGTTGTTGATGGTGGCACTCCCCATGACTAGCTACATGGATAATATTAAACGCGACAGCGCCTATTCAATACCGTTAAAAATTTTTTTAAAAAAAGAAAAAAAAAAACAAATGTTGATCGACAAGGGTGTTTTGGAATAATAAAAACCTTCAAATTCCACCATAAAGATACAAAAATAGCAAAAAAAAAAAAGGATGGAATATTTTTGCTGACAAAAAAGGTCATGGCCGGTTTGCGATGGAGGATAAGGACTTGAAAAAATATATATCATAGTGATCATCGAAGGAAGAGGAACTCTCTAATTTAAGTGATTGGACTAGAAGATTGCGAAAGGATCGGAGAAATTTGAAAAAAAAAAAAAGAAAAAAACGTAACAAAGTTTTGGAGATGGCTTGTGATGAGATCCCAAACAGCATGGTGGCTTTAGTTTGCGAAGGAAGCCACTAGAAAGGTTAGAATTAAGAAAATAGTTGTGCTAAGCATTTGTTCACTTCATTGGAAAACCTATTTCTATATGGAAAATTAGAAAAAAAAAATGGCTTAGGACATGTATCCTTTAATATCATGTTAAACTTGAGGGATTAGAAAGTCTTGCAGGTGACAAATAGTCATCGCTTGTCAATAAAGCGGAAGTAAAATATGTTAGAAAACAAACAAGGAAAGTCTTCCTTGTGTGTTCTAAGAGTGTGGAATGACCTTGAGAAAGTCTTCCTCTCGGTTAATGACACGTCATCGAGTCAATTGACTCTCACTCTTGATCCTGATCTGGTCACGTTACCTTGACCTAATCTAATTTCTATTATCCGCCACCTTCTACATACTTGTTATTCATCTTAGTCATTACTTGTTGTCTGCCATAATCAATCTTTGTTAGGGTTAGATTTCAATGTAATTGATAGTTCTTTGGGATTGAGAACACATAAGCTTGTATTTATTGCCAATCCTTTGAGACTTGTATATTTTAAAACCTTTTCGAGAAATTTTAAGTCCGAGAAACTTGAACATATGAAAGAATTTTTAACACAAAGTATGCAGCGGAAAATATTAGTCCCTTTTTAGTTACTTGCATGTTTTTAATCTTAATTTAGGTTTTGTTTGTTAATGCTGAATATAAAAGCTTGTAAGTAAAGAGAGACACACACACATAGAGATAGAGAGAGAGACACACAGACAGAGAGAGAGAGAGAGAGAGAGAGAGAAAGAGAAAGATTTATAGTTGTTCAACCAAACCTAGTCTACTCCGCTCTTCTCCTAAAACTCCTAGGAGGATTGCACTAAACTATTTGTTACTTCGTCGCTTTCTACTTCTCTAAGTATAGATTGTTTGTTGATCACACAAAGCTTGTTGAATCTCCAACTTGGTGTAGACTTGGCTTGATATCTTCTTGAAGTTTTTTTGCCAAAGTCTCGAGCTTGATCTGGAATAGGTAGCTCTTGAATTTCTCTCTCATTGGTTGTGGGTTTGAATACTTGTATGCTTTGAATTCTCATTTAACAATTGTCAATTAACCAAGACCTCATTCAACATTAAATGGAAGTATTTATAGACCCATTTGAATATGTCCTTAGAGAGAACAAATTAAAATATCCATTACCATTCATGTAAGGACCGATGTGTAAAGTGTAGGTTGCTTTTGCTCAGATTTCTAGTCGTTGTTTTCACTTTTGGTGTTTGCTTTTTTGCTTTCTGAACTGCAACTTTTGTCTTGACTTTTTGGGAAATCTTTCTTGGAAACTATACCTAGGACTCCTTTTCCTTTGGTGACATTTCATTTTCAATAACTTACTTTAATTTAAGGAAGTTTATCGTTTGTTCAAAGAATGTCCAAATAGTTTATCCGTAAAGTTACTATGACTTTTCGTATCATTCCTTAGCAACCTTTTGGATTTGACTTTCCTGAGTAAATCCTTTGTTATCCGGAAGTATTAACTATTCACTTTAGTTAACTTTCTGTTCTCCAATTTTCTGGTCAAGGTTGGTCCTTCCATTTTTTGACCATTTATCCTCCCGGTCCTCAACTCTTCGTCTTCAAAGTCTTCAGCTTTCCGATCTTCACTCTTCAACTTCTCGGATCTTCAGCTTTCCAGAACTTGACTTCTCAAAGATGACCTTTCTAAGGTTACTGTTCTAACTTTCCGAGACTTAACTATCCTGATGTTACTTTTCGAACTTAGTTTACTTTCCAGTTTTTAATTTTCGGATAAATATAGTTCATTCTCTAAGTGAACCTTTTAGAATTTCAATAAAAATTTTCCTAAGTCTAGAAAATAAAATAATTGATGACCTAACTTTTGTAACTTATTTAGTAACATCAAAATTTAACACTTGTTCCTAACAGGTTGGTTAGGTTACAAGTCTAGGATGGGGGGTGAATAGACTTGTATAATTTCAAAACATTTTCGAAAAACTTTAAGCCCAAAAAACTTGAACTTTGAAAGAAGTTTTAACACAAAGTACGTATTGTCAGGAAGTGGTGTGGCTACACGGGTGTTGGTTCCTAGATTGTCAGTGACACCATCAGTTCCTCGGTTGCTATTCAAGTTCAAAAGGAGACAATTTGCACGGCTGGAAATCTCGCGTTTTCCGTCCAACTAACGTTGGACGGAAAACGCGATATATTGGTCGGAAACGACGTTTCCGTCCAACATACCGACCAAAATGAACGTTCGGAAAAGCCATTGTCAGGAATTGATGCGGCCCAACATAATGAAGATCCATTAAGAGTACCAATTGGGCCAATCACAAGGCCCAAGTCCAAACAATTAAGGCAACTCTTCATTGGTGATGTTCAAAGATGGTGAAAATTCAAGTTAAGCCCATTTGCAAAAGATGAAGAAGAACTGAAGGCTTTTTATAATTGTTTAGGTGCTGATTTTGGAGATTAAATTAGGCCCAAATCAGCCTTATTATTTTTGGTCATCATTATTTTAAATTGTTTGGAATTAAAGAGAAAACACTAGTTTGTATTAAGAAAGGATTTTTTAAATCCCTTTCTAAATAAGACTATATTTACTTGCTTTCTAGATTAGGTTTAGTACTCTTTTTCCCATTGTATTTAGGATTACAATGCTGCCCTATAACCTATAAATAGGGCACATTCATATCAGTTTTAGGGAGGCTTTAATTCAATAAAATTCTTAAGTTTTTCTTTATACTTGTGTGAGAAACCTTATGGCTAATTGTGGACTCAATTAGTGGCTAGTCGTGGACTCGACTAGCAAATTGATTTGTGGACTCGAATCAATCTTCCTTTCTTCAACCTTAGATTTAGGTTCGTGGACTCATTCTTGAATCAAAGGAAACTAGATCCGACTCTAGTTGATTGAAGACTGCATCATCGAGGTACTTGAAGCTACAATGGGATTCTTCTATGTCTTTGAGGATTCGAGACAAAGGATTTCTCGTGAGGTTTAAGGTATTTTGACCCATCTCTATCTTTATTTTGAGAGCATTCTTGGGACAATATTTCATCTTATTTGAATCTTGGACTAGGTTCATATCAGGAATTCCTTCCAACCACAATTTTTCGTCGAAAATAGTGTCCAACGAATAAAAATTGGACGGAAATTCCGGATAGAAACCCACCATTTTAAAGCGTGGGAATTTCCGTCCAATGTTTTGTGTTGGTCAAAAATTCTGATCAACGTTGGACGGAAAATGAGCATATCATACTTTTGTGTTTTCCTTCCAATTGTTGGACGAAAATTCTGACGAACTGTTGGATGGAAATATCAAGTACTAAATGTTATAAATTTCCTTCCAAACTGTTGGTAGGAAAATCCTAAACCATATTAAATAT